AAGAAAAAAGCTTCGCTCCCTCGTGCGAAACAAAATCTTCGCATGCGAATTTTGGACTCGGCCATGCGAAATTCCGGTATATGGATTCACCCAATGACAAAAACGTTGGTGCGAAAAAAATTATTCGCAAGCGAAATTCGCACCCGAAGTTCGCATCGGTTTTTCGGGCATATGGAATGTCAGCTTTAGGTAAAGACAATTTCGCTATCAAGGACCGGTTTTCGGGATGAAAAGTTGTCATGTATTCTTGGTAATGACTCAGTGATCATCAAAAGGTCTTGGTGCGTAGTGTACCAAATTACGAAATAAACATTAGGTGAACATTAAAGTTCAGCCAGCTCTCCTCTTGAGTCTTCAAATGGCTCATACTTTGCTAAGAAACAGAAAAACAAAGTAAACAACGAAAAAAAAAAAACCAAATGCCATCCAAACTTTGCACAGCAGTTTGTATCAATATGTCTTAACTACCACAACTATTGGGACAAGATTAAGAAACTTTTCTTTATTAATTTATATAAAATACTTGACGTCTCTGTCACACGTAAAATGGAATTATGTTGTTCACAGCACTTTCCGCTTCTCACACACATTTTGCGTACTCATATGGCCTACGTCACAGCTCATCGATGACAATTTCTTGTGGCTAAACTTGTTACAAGGAATTATTTTTATAGTGAACACTTTTTTTGCATTACAATTTCTCAAAACATGCGTTCGATAAGCATAATGTCCCAATTAGGAAAACATGTCGGACTTGCTATTAAAAGCAATGTTGCCCCAGCTGTAAACATTTTAAAATCTGTAGAAACCACCCATTTTGGGATTTTTATTAGCATTTATAAAGGAGGTTTCTTCGAATATCTTGATAACGACTGAGAAGAATCGTACGATTTTGACAAAGCACATAGCACATTTGGTTTCTGACCTTATGGTCTAAGGAACTTAAAACGGCCAAAAATGTCAGATAAAACATTGTAATTCCGAGGCCTTGACATAAGAAATACGCTCTTACAGTGCATCATTTTCCGAAAACAAAGATGACACCACTCAGGGATGTTAACCTAGCTTCTTTATACTTACAGAGAACCACAATACTGGAATCAACCCAACACTCCTCCACCGCATCATGAAGATACGCCATTTTGCTGAGAAGTTTGGTCAATCTCATCCCCCGCGCTGTTCACTGAGATGTTTTGATCATCAGTCTTTTGGAGGACAGGAACCACCATGGGGGTGTCGGGCTTTGGAACTTCCGAGCTACCAGATGGTGCCACCCTGGTCTGAGCTCTGAGGGTCTGTTCTTTGTCTTCGTCGCTTTTTCCTGTCGTAGCAGAACCATCACTTACACCATCAGCGGTTTTGTTGTTGTTGGTGGTGGTGTTGTTGTTGCTATCGTTGTTGTTGCTATCGTTGTTGTTATTGTGATTGTTACTTTTGCTGTTGTTGTTGTTTTTGTCATCATTGTTGTTTTTTCCCGAATCTTTAGGGGCGCCTGCCAGTTTTTTCGAATGCTCGATGACGTGCGCCATTTTGAGAAGGAATTTTCTGCGGTCCTGACTCGCCATCTCCAACTTCCGGATCCGGCTGTAGGCAAACATCCGGCGACGTGTCATGGCGTCCAGCCAGCGGCGGAAGTCCTCCTGGTTCTTTAGTAGCTGTTCTTTTCTGGGATATGGGAAATTGAAAATGGGAAATTGGAAATTGGAAATGAAAAATTGTTTGTTTGAGAAAAGTGAAGCACATCGTCACTATGATGGTCATTTAGCTACGTGAAGAAGTAAGACGAATGGACAGAAATAGCAGAGGAAAGGAACAGAAGTAAAACATACAAGTCCACCCCCCCCACCCCCCACCCCCCAGCTACCTGCGAGATAAAAAATGGGATGTGGACGAACTACATTTAACATTAGTAATACCTGCTTGTATATAGTGTGTATCCATGCTCAACAGCACGCTCTATGCGTTGTGAAAATGGCGTTATTGTAGAGGTTTAACGCATCTATCAACACAAGTAGGTTATTAAAGAGGTGGGACCTCCGAGTTTAACGTCTAACTCCAAAAGGGTGGAGCCAAATGGGAAATTCGTGTAAAGTGACTTTCCCAAGGACACAGCGTAAGACAGAGCTGAGGTTTTAACCCCCGAACCTGCAATCTCACTATTCTGGGTCCGTAGCCTAACCACAATGCCACTGCCACCATTCTACGTGTATTAAAACTAGTATTACGATAGATGACCTTTTAACACTCAGAAACATTCTCAGATTTTTGTGACGCATACAGTGCAAGAGCTCAGACACTAAGAAATTACTAATGCGAACTTTCTCTGAACATATTATACAGGGAGTAACAGTTCCCACATTGGTGAAGTGAGAGAAATTCTTGAATGGTGCCTTTCTCAAGAATACAACGTCAGAACCCTGACGGGGTTTCAACTCATGCCCTTTCTGTCATGGGCCCGACAGCTTAACCACTAGGCCACCAACGCCACATTTACTACAAAAGTGATCAGAAAAAGGTATCGTTTGTAACGACGTATAATATAGGTGCTTTTTGTTATTCTAGTACGTTTGTGAGCTTATTCTGATAGGTTTGTGATGAAATAAGACACGAAAGAACCTTATTATCACCAGAGAACTTGTTCAACTCTCATCTGTTTACAGTAGCTATAGGAGACAAACATATTTAACCCCTTCACTGCTGAAAAATCTCCATCAACATCTGGACCGACAAGATAAAATGTTACTTCTTAGAATATTTTAACACAGCGAATTGTTTCAGAATAAGCATAAACCACAAACGGTAACTATACCAACTAAAACTTCTTTTGTCAAACAGATTAAACAATATGAGAATACAAGCCAGAACACATGTCTACTCAGCAGTGAAGAGGTTAATGCGTTGTATGAGTTTGTAACTGTGCGTATGCGCATGTGTGTGTATGTGTGTGTATATGTGTATTTGTGTGTATGTGTGTTTTTCTTTGTGTGTGTGTGTGTGTATTTGTGTGTGTGTGTGTGTGTGTGTGTGTGTGTGTGTGTGTGTGTGTGTATGTGTGTTTGTGTGAGTGTGAACAAGTGTGGTGTGTGCGTGCACATGTGTGTGTGGTACACATTCTGTGAGTGAATGTGTGTATCTGTTTTATTCCTCAAATCAAGCCCTAATTTCCTGTACATACATTATATTATCTTCAAAAAGCCCGGGAGCCCAGGCTGTCTTTGTACCAGTGTTAGAACTAAAACTTAACCACAAGAGTAAAGGTATTTAAAAAATCCCTCTAGAAAGATTTAATGAGCCATTGTTTTCGCAAACAAAACGCCTTGCTGTTCGAAGGTTTAATTTGAAACGTATCTTGTTTGTTGTTTGTTTTTTTTGTTTTTTTTTCTTTTTGTTTTTGTTTTTCATGTTGTTCTGTTCTGGTTTTATTTCTTTTTTGTTTCGTTTTGTTTTGTTATCTTTGTTTGTAGTTGTATATTTCTTTTTTTATATATTTCACTCAGCACAAGACAGCTGTCCCAAATTGTTTCCGCTAGTCCAGCCATTGTTCTGTTCCAAACAGCATTGTACGAACTGTTGAGGCAAAACTTGGGGTAGGTTTGGGGCTCGTGTGTGTATGTGTGTGTGTATGTGTGTGTGTGTGTGTATGTATATGTGTGTGTGTGTGTGTGTGTGTGTGTGTGTGTGTGTGTGTTTCGTTTTCTATTCCTTTCGAACCAAGGGAAGCGCAAAAGGTCTATCAAGGACGCTGATGAGTTTGCGTTCACCACGCATGCCTCTGCTCATCCAGAAAGACAGCTCACTCGGCGAACACGTCAAAGCATGTGCACCTGATACTGTGCGGAACGTTGTCTCCCTCGTACACTTTTCGCAGCATACACTAGGCTCATGACCGATTCTCTCTCGCAACCCCCCC